CACCACCGCATGACTATTGACCCTGCTTAACATTGATTGATTTCAACACACACGTCTGAAGCGCGGTCGAAAAGAATTGCGCGTTATCTCTCTCTCTCTCTCTCTCTCTCCTCTTGCGCTTCGGCTATTTATGATGTTTTTAATGCGCGAGAAGTGGAAAATCTATTACGCGTTTACGAGCGCGTTAGAATTGCGCTAAACAGGGTCAGATAAAAAATCGCGACCATGTGCATGCGTATCTCTATCCCGATGGTGATTTATATTTCCTGATATACTATTGCAAACGAATTTCAACAAGCGTTGGTAGCGTAGCTACTAGAGTATAAAAAAAAAAAAAAAAAAAAAACATTTATCATTTTCCAATAACTCGTCACGTAGTCAGAAAAAAAACTTATCATGACTTCTGAAATTTTTAGAAGATAGCTTATCTCTCGAAGCTTCCCAAAGTATAAAGCGTATGTGTTTTAAACAGATTAATTAGAATATCGTGAGTCTCTTCACATATTCCCCGGAAGAATTTCGAATTGTGAAACAAATTTCACCGCAATAAATATCTCGGGGTGTGTTAAAACGAAACCTCGACAATCATTCGCGAATTCGAATTGGGTAGAACTTCTTGCATACAAAAAAGCGTAAACCACACATGCGCGCTCTGTTGCTCGGCAAATGGATGCCACAAGAGTGTTCTTCACGGCGGAAAGGCGTTACAAAAGAGAAGCACGGCGATGATGACGGCGGCAGCGGCGGCGACGGCGCGCGGTCAGTGTATAATAAAAGATTTTTTTTTTGTTTTTCGAGCGGTACGGTTATCGCGGTGAGCCGAGGTTGAACTGCAGCGGCGTGTGTTAGGAACGCTCGCAATATCACGAGAGAAGTACGTACTTCTCGTAAACACATCGTCGGTATTTAGTATTCTCAAGTTGCAGTAAGCATCCGGTTAAGAGCGGCGGCGCGACCGCGCCCATCGGACACTTTTTTTCCGTTAGCAAAAAGACGAGGAGAAAAAGGAGAAAGAGAAAGAGAGAGAGAGAGAGAGAAAGAAAGAAAAAGAGGGAAGAGGGGAGAGAGCCGGGTGAGACGCGTTTCCTTTTTGCTTAGCCTCGTTTCGGGACCTAACACGAGCCTTGACGGGATCGGGCTGCCGCCGACCTATATCGCTTTTATGTTAACGCGCTCGAAATACGAACACGCGGCTAGACGTCTCGCCGTTCTCCTCGATTTCCTTCGATCCTCGGAGATCCTGCGGCTCGTTACCTGTCCGCAATAAACCGCGCGATTCCGAGAAGGCGAAAAGAGTATCGATATTCTACTGCCGGGTGTGTATTTTTTTTTCTTTTTTTTTTTTTTTATCGTCAGTTTGCGATCGATTTGCTTCGTAGACTTTGCGATCTGCATTATAATGGAGAAACGAATATTTCGTTTCGCAAACAAAAAATATAGAGACGACGATCGATACGACGAGCTTGGCGATATTTTATTGCTTTAAATAGATTAGTATCAAATATTTTTACCTATTGTTAAACGTGACAAGGTTGGGAGAGACTTGAAGCTAATCGGTTTCTCGCGAATATACACACACGCGTTTCTTTTTTTTCTGACGAGGGAGATTCGGTCGTAAAAAAATAATTCTCGTCCCTTTTTTTTTTTTTTTTCGCAGAAATGTAGTCTATTTCGCAGAACTGACCTATATTTCAAGGGTTAACCTTGGCACTGGAAGGAAGAAAAAATTCGGGGATCCAGTCAGGTGAGAATGACGTATTTATAAGCGAAAACGACTTGCGGCTGTGCCAAAAATTAAGAGATCCGACGATATCCCGTGTCGAGCGACGTGAAAGAAGAAACACGTTCGGGCGATGAAGTAGTCGTCATTCCTGAAACATCACGTCGGGAAGAGATGCGGTTTTATTTGATAGCATGGGAACTTCGGTTTATGGACTGATCGCGTTGCGCAAGGCTTCCTCTTCTTCGCTCTTCGAGAGCGGCTCTCGAGCGGCTCTCGAGCGGCAACAAGCGCGAAAGAAGAAGAAAAACGGTCAGACGCCGCCGTCTCCGTCGTCGCGCCCGTCGCGTCGTCGTTTTCGCCGAAAGACTTTCGTTAGGTCCCGTATATATGGTTTATATTTGTATGACTTTCAACGTGCGCCTCTCTTGACGTGTTTGCGCAAAATAAAGAATTTCGACGGCCCCCGGCGTTTCGTCTCGCTCTCGTACACACACATATGTCGTCGTCGTCGTCGTCGTCGTCGTCGTCGTTGTCGTTGTGCGGCGTGCTTACTAAAAATATATCGTAGGCGAAACGACCGCGGGCGTACCGCGTTTTCTGCCGTACTGCATTTATAGATCGGGGCATTTACAGGAAAAAAAAAAAAAAAAAAAAGAAATTCGTCTCTACCGAATTGAAGGGCGACGCGATCGAAGAGCGGAAGCCGCAAAAAATCGCACGTGTATTGTTTTTCTCTCGATTCTCACGATAGAAAAAAAAGCGCGTTGTCCAATACCGTCGAGCCCAATTTTTATCGTTTCGTTATGTTGAATATTTACGCGATGACAAAACCACGACTTTGCGAGGAGTCAGTACACAAAGTTTTTTTTTTATGAGTTCCATGAAGACAAAAATAATGTTGCCGGCGCAAAGTTTGAGTTTTCAATAAAAGACCAAATGTGTTGAATATGTATATGCTTATTCAATGAAAAGACTCCGTAATAGACTGTTATTTCCGTATGTGAAGCGCGATTATGCCCGGCCGGAGAAGGCCCAGCTGGCTGGAACATAAAAGCGCTTCCGACGACGATGATAAGAATAGAAAGCGCGTAACAAATCAAATAAGCCAACTATTATTGTTACACGCGGTTTGATTTTTGTACGTTACGAATGGGCTCGATGAGGCCCGGAGACGCATAAAACAATTATTGAAAATAAAAAAAAAAAAAAAAAAGAGCGCAGCTGGCCGTGCACGCACCATGCACGCCTGACGAGAGAGGCTAATGCGGCTCTAGAATTTCTATGAGAATGGAAAATGCGGCGATTCGAGCGCTATTATGCAACTCCCCTAACGCGCAGCACGCCAGGCATTACGTTCGAGAGCACAAGAGAGGTATCGGGACACCGACACTAAACCTGTTTACGCGCAAAGTCTGTACCGCACATTCGCTATTTTTTTTTCCCTTTCTTTTTACGATGTCGTATCCGCGCGCTTTAATACGCGAAGCAGGAGGAAATCAATTTTTTTTTTTTTTTTATTTTACGGTCCCACGATCACTCGACCGCGCGCTAAGTAAACAATTACTTCGTAAACAGCGATATATAAGGATACATCGCATCTTGTGCGAGTGTCATCGACCTGATCATCAATGCACGGATTTTCCTTCCGGTCAATCAAGTGTTCCTCTGAAATCTAAGCGCCTCCCGTTCCTCGCGAATTATCTTCTTCTCTTTTTGTTTTTTTTGTTTTTTATTTTTTTTTATTTAGGACAGTTGCTCTCTTCGAAATCAAACGAGTTGCATTTGCATAATTTCGCGTGTTACATTTTTATTTCGATCTGTCTCGCGAAACTTGTCTGGTACGTTATCTTACTTTGCGAAACTTTCTTATTAAAGAAACTTTACATGGCTAATATGTTTTTGTGAAGTAAATTCCATTCGGTTGGAGATGTAAGAAAAGCGCGGAAACTTGAGAAACCTTTTATTTAAACAGACACGTGGGTTTGTGTGTGGGAGTATTTTTGTTTTAAAAATGCCAAGGTTAAAATTTAACACGAGATTTTGCGGATTCAAAATTTCTCGTTCGCAACAACGCGCTCCTTTCCAGGATGCATTTTTTTTTTTTTATTTTTGGTTTTGTTTTGTTTTATACATCTAACATGTAAGTAAGGGGAACCGCAATCAAAAAAGCCCCCGTCATATGGGAAAGTGCAGGCCGCGGCTTCTTGATCGTAATCTCTTAATTTCGCATGTGTTTTTACGCCCCCGCAGGCGAGGCGCGTTCGAGCATCCAAAAACCGGTATACAACGCGGAGTATTTCGCGGTCGCGCCAGGTTGCACAGGATTAAACTAATCGCGGGAAGAATATTATTATACAAGGACATCGACTATATCGAACACATACATATCTTCCATCCTCCCGCGCGCGCCACAGCCTCCTCTCCTCCTCCCTCCTTCTCACGATTCAAGAAGTTCTTATCTTATCTCCGGTTTCAAACTAAATTGAGAGAGGATTCGCGATTCTTCTATTTCTTTTTTCTTTTTATACGTATATAAATTAACCTTCTCGCTGCGCGGCGCGCTTTTAATTAGATGGCCATTATTTACTTTTATGCTCTCGGAGGAATTTCGTGGGAAAAACTGGTCTCATCATCGAGAGAGATTGACGTATATATAATATAGTAATCTCAACTTTGAGGAGAGAGAGAGAGAGAGAGAGCGCCTATATACAAAAATTCCTTCTCTCTTATTACGCTACTGTATATTATTCCAATACCAGAAAATTGTAATGTTCTTTCTTCCATCCCGTGTGCTCCGCGCGCGCGCGCGCACACACTCTATTTTACTACCAATCTCTATGTAATATCTCTGCGAGCGTCATAATGTGCTCGAAGATGACAAGTTCTACGTCTTCCCGTTAAAATCTCGCCACCTGCAGGGATAGGCCCCGAAGGGAGAGGAGAAGCAACGCGCGTGGCGGGGGTGGGAAGCTGCGACCGCGTTTGACACTGACAGTGGCTGATTAGCGATCGAGTTTAAGGAGAGATACAGCTCTTACTCTCTCTCTCTCTCTCTCTCTCTTTCTCTCTCTCTCTCTCTCTATCTCTCTATCTCTCTTTCTCTTTCTTGTACATGCGTGTGCGTGCGCGCGACGCAAGTGCGAGCGGTAAAAGTGCGATGGATAAAACGAGAGAGACTGGCGTGCGCCGCGATTGGTCGGCGCGCCCGCTCGTGGCCGCGGTGGGGATATTCCTAACAGCTGAGCGCTGTATACCAGTCAGCAAGTCGCATGCTAGTCTCAGTAGGAGATGAGCGCTCGCAGAGTGAGCATTGGGATCGAACCCTTGTTTCGGAACGGGCGAGAATGTTAGTCAGTGATCGCCGAGCGACTGTGAGAGAGGATCCTAACGTCTAAAGTTGACAAACTTGTGCGTGCGACGTTGTCGATATCCGGTACTAAAAAAAAAAAAAAAGAAGAGAGAGACAGAGAAAAAGAGATAAAGAGAAATTAAAGAAAAATTATAACAAGGTGGAAAGATTGCGCCTCTCTCGAATTTTGACACGCAAAAGTTCGACCGCTGCTCAGCGAGCACGTGGATAGAGAAGTAATATAACGTGCGTAGTCTCCCTCCTGAGATTAAAGCTCAGCAGGAGGAAAAAGGTGTCTTTTTTAGCGCGCAGGGGATAGCGACGCGCCGGATCCGCGCACGACGGTCCATCATATCCAGTCGAGTCGCGTTCACGAGAGGAAACTGCCGGTGTATAACGGATTGTGATGCACGTCGTCGACTTACCATTGTTAAATTGAAGTGCAGTGTTACGCGGAGTTGTTCCGGCCCCGGAAAAAAATGGTGCCAACACAACAGGACCCCTCGAGCTCGGGGGTTTATACGGATATCGTATTCGGCTCGCTTCTTGTGGATGAAAATTCGCTGACGCCGTATTCAGATGCGACCCAGGTATTTAAACAACCAAGTTGCCTCTATCACTTGGAAAAAATTGTGAATTTTTCGTCGAACGGCCAAAGTCATCGCAATTGTTTTTTTTTTTTTAATAACAATTGTGCACTGTTTTTTTTACTCGCTATAAACTGTTGCCTGTAAAAATCTCTGATCGAAAATACACGCGATATTGTAACGTACGTATGTGCGCGTCTGGAAGTTTGAAATATCTAAAAAATATCTGAAAAGAGTAAAGAAAGCTCCGAAAGATTAACGAAATCTCACTGACGTGTTTTTCCAAGATTAGATTTTCTGTAATTACATTTTGTCTCATTTTTACGACTAACACTTGAAAAATCTTTCAATCTTTCGTCAATTCTCTGTTACTTTTTTGATCTTGTATCACGACTTAAAGAACTTCAATATATATATATATATATTTTTTTTTTGTAAATTGAGAGAATTAGCTACAAATTGCAACGGAAATTCAAAAGAAAAAAAAACGCAGTTTAAAACAAGCAGTTTCTATTTCGAGATAATTTCAGCATTGCAATCATTATTTAATTATCATATCGACAATATCACGTGAAAACTTGTATTTATGCGGCTTGTATCGTGGAATTGCTACTTATGTTTGTTATAACGTGTTAAATAACGGGCAAGAAAAACGGCGCGATTATAGCGAGGAAAAAAAAAAGTTACGTCAAACAGAGAGTGCATTGAGTACGAGCTCGTGTTGAGCAGAGCGATTCCAATAGATTGCCTGACAGCTGACCATAAAGCCAGATAGGCAGATCCATTGGCACTTGTAACAGTTTCTTTTCTGATCGTGGACCAAAAGATTTCAAATGTTCGCTTGTGTTTTTTGTCCGAACTTAAAGAGAAGCTGCGGAATTGATTAAAAAAAAAAAAAAAAAAAAAAACAAATTTGCAATAATAAACAAGCATGCGCGATTCGAGTGATGTTCCGATATCAGAATTGACTTGCTTGATTTGAAAAGATAAGTTATACGCAAATAAAAAAATATACACAATGCGATTTCACATTATGTTGCCAATGTCTGTTTGCCGAATGTTACTTGCACATCTCACATCGAAAGTTTCTTCAAGTCTCAGATCGGTGTTTCATAATTTTCCGAGATATTGCATTACGTAAACAAAACCCACGTTTATTATCACATTATTACGAAAATAACCCAGGGATATATAATCCGAAAAAATAAATACGCTTTTTCTCACAGTGTTGCAAGGTATGTGTTTTTCTTTTTTTTTTTCGGTGCACGTGGCGAAGTGTTTAAATCTCCGAGTGGTGTTTACGAAATTGTGATTGCCGCACGGTGTATTTCGGGGCCGCATATCGCAGCCGCGTCGATGCGACAACTTTTATGAATTTATGACGAACGATCGTTCGCGCACAGTTGGGAATGATAAGCGCGATGATTTTTCGTAACATCGCACGTGCATGTGATTCACGCGGCGATATTGCAGTTTTTGAGATATAATGTTTGTGCAGTTTTCTATTGAAGCGTGTTTATTAAATATTTTCCAATATCCGCTGACAGTTTTTATTTTTCCATTTTCACTCTTCCATAAAGACGCGTATGCATGAAAAATAATTCGCTGAATTAAGAAATAACTTTCACATTTGATTACGTAGCAACTTATGATCCGCATTAGAGGAAAAGTGGAAACATCTGTGCCGTTCGAGAGAAACGACGTAATTTTAAAGCGGAACAACCGTGAAGTTAAAGTTCGCCCGATCGGTTCGGTGCATTCGAAATGATGCGATTCCAGACTTTGTCGAGAAGAGAATTTTAGAGCGCGCGCGCGCGCGCGCGCGCGTTGAGATAACTCGTCCGAATAAAATACAAAATATCGCCAATGTTGTGTTTTTTTTTTGTTTGCAAGATTAGTCTCCTCGATGTCATAAACAGTGCTCGAAAGAAATCGGTTGTTTTTAGTGCATTTGTCCTATTTGTAGATTACGGAAAGTTTTAACACACGCACAAAAAATATAACGTAAATAACAATATTTCAGGATTCGCGTAACACGTGCAAACATATCGCTGGATGTTGGAAATTTAAAAAAAAGTGAAAAATAGGGAAACAAGTGTCTGTTTAATTTATCAATTTCTCTCGCTCGCGGGAAAATGTCATCATCAGAATTTTAACTATTTCCTTGCGAGATTTTTTCCGAAATCCCCGTAAAAAAAAAAGAGAAACCTCAGGCGGTTTCGAAAAAACATCAAAGAGTGGATAATCAAGCATCAAGATGTGCACCGTGTGCCTGCTTCTCTCATGGGCCTATCGAGTTTTACTGCTTTCAGACCCATGTATCACACACAGAAAGAGAAACACACGCATGTGTGCGCGATGACTGTGCGTTCCTAGTGCGCCGCGACAACAGGGTGCCATATGGCCCGCGTGAAAATTCGTCGGTATTTCCAGACGTCGGCTCTGCTCGTCTCTCACAGCCGAGCCAGCCGATATGGACCGGATATTCTTTCCCCCCCTGTGTCGCGGGGGTAATTACTCGTAACGCGCGCGTACACACGCGAGATAGATCCGATCGAGACACGCCGACATTTTTCTCGGTAAGTCCCGGCCTTCGAATCTTCCGCCCGGCCCCGGTCAACTATTATCCTTCGGGACTTTAATGACTCGAGAGAGGCTCTAATTCTATAGCTCGCTCCGACCAGGTAGTTCTCCTCCGGAGTTATGTATTTCGTATCGCTCCCGGGGAAATAGCGTTCGCAGATATATACACGCGCGGCGGTTCCGATCGAGTATCGGTTCGCGGCGCGGAATAATCGATCGATCGCGTCATCGTCGTGATTTTTGATTTCGCACGCACGACTCCGCAGCTGCTCCAGGACTGTTCGATGGGCTGTAATTCCACGGTGTGTACCATATCGTCGTCCATTCCGCTCGATCGGTATAAGGCACCGAATCGGGAGCGAACGGATCCAATACGTTTCCATTTCGGCATCCGCAGTTCCGCGGATTTGATAACATATTTTTTTTTGTTTTGTTTTTTTTTTTTTTTTTGCATGTATATCGTTATATTTCGTAGCATATCGCGTGAAATACTTTTTTGTCGTAAAACAATTTATATATTCTATCGATGTAATTTGCCCTGTTAGATTTGATATAATTGGCTTTATCGAGCTTTATAAATATTCAGAATTTTTATCTATTTTTGTCTTATCTAAGTAATTTGAGATAAATATTTCGAACTGATCGCGCTGCATCGCGCAATTACGTTAACTATCTTAATCTTCTCCGACCGTGCCGTAACTTTGCTGCATTATGCGTTATCAAATCTCGGGCACATCCGGCTTGTGATATTCGCGTGAAATCAAACCGCAACCAAATACGTGACGAATGTTTGTTTGGAATGCAACGAAGGAAAGATAAAAATATGCAATTCTGTAAATTATAAATGTCTCAAAAACTTCAATTCCACCGCAGATTTCATCGTCAAACTTCGTTTCGAAGATTTACGAAATAAATAATTTTTACAATCCATGAGAATGAACCTTTTTTAAAATAACATTTTAATAATAAAATTTCGAATATGATTGCGAGCTTTATTTTTAACGCGGAGAACGTTCAGCGATCCAATATCTCGCCGTTGTATTTTATTTTCGAACGTAAATCAAACGTTCGAAAATATAAATAAACCGGGGTCGTGCGTGTAAGACGCGCGACGCGGGACGAAAGGACGAAAAAGGGACTCGACCGGGAGAGAACGTGGGATCCGTAATTTTCGTCTCGATTCCAATTTCTTTTTCTCGCGGGCTTAATCTCGTCCAGTAAATTGGCCCTCTGAACTTCTCTTTGACTGCTCTCGGCCTCTCTGGCCGACTCCCTCTCTCTTCGTCTCCGTCGCCGTTCGCCTCCTCCACTCCTGATAGGTACAATCCCATCAAATTATCCCGATTACCTGTAGCCTTGACGATATACGCGCGAGAGCCTTTCTAATACAAGAGACAAGCGCGTACCGACGTTAACGACGATTTCGAAGTCGAACGCGTGCTGCTGGCGCGCACGCACGCGCGCGCGCACACACACACACACACACATATACACACACACGCATATGACGGTAATTTATCGCTAAACGCGGTGCTCCTCGTCTTGCGGTGACATTGAACGCAATTCAGCCGGCTTTAAAGAACTTAAAATCCTGAATCTCATTAATTACAAACAATCAATTATAATATTGAAAAAAAAATTATCTCTTTTGCATAGCAGATAAGTGAGTTATCTAAAAATACATGACAATATATATACGCAAGCGATTAAATAATCTTCGTAGAAACGGTGGAAAGAAACACTCGTACGTATATATATATACATATATACATATATCAGCTGCGTTAATTACGCAAAACGAGCGCAGTAGAATTTTAATCGAGCGAACGATTCCTCGATCTCGCGACTTCACGAAGAGGTCTCCCCGCGTTATCGGAACTCGCACACTTGAGAGTAAAAACTCCGGAGCGGATACGTGAACGCGCGCCGGCATCGTTCTCTCGATTCGCTTTCACGGAAAGCTCGCGTGATAACGCGCGGCACGAAATAAAGTCGACGTTTCTGGGAAGCGCATCCGGTTGTGATGCGGCGGCGGCGGCGGCGGCGACTGGGAAAAAGAGATCCGTGTTTTATCATAAACGAACACAATTGCCAATACCGAGGCACAGCACAGCACAGCACAGCACACGGTGTCCGATTATACGTTTGCTCGTGTGGAAACGAGGCGCACGCAGAAACGTAAATCGCTCGTTACACTTTCCCCGCACGCGTACGCGTGAACGTGACATTTTGCAGTCGCACGATCATTCTATTTACGAAAATGGTTATCGAGGCTCGTGTCACGTTTGGCGTCAATCGCGCTTTTTTGATTCTCGCGTCGATATTGAATCTCGCGATCCTCCCAAACGTGCAATTAAAACGCGAAATTTAAACAAATTTTTGTTCAGGCCTAGATTGTGCGTGATGAAGGACACGCGAAG